TCCTTTCCTTATGCTTGAAGACAGCCAACTGTGGACAGCTGACATTACTGCCTGAGAACTATGGACGCCCCATACCAGGAAAGAGTTTAGATGGAATGGTGCTTTATGCTGACTATTTATTTAGTTATTTATTTATTTAGTTAGTTAGTTAGTTAGTTAGCGGTACGCAGGCCTCTCACCGCTGTGGCCTCTCCCCTTGTAGAGCACAGGCTTCGGATGCGCAGGCTCAGCGGCCATGGCTCACGGGCCCAGCTGCTCTGCGGCATGTAGGATCCTCCTGGACCGGGGCACGAACCCGTGTCCCCTGCATCGGCAGGCGGACTCTCAACCACTGCGCCACCAGGGAAGCCCCTGACCATTTATTTTTAAAGACACCTTGGACTGTCTATTGATTAGCAAAAGACACAGGAGAATGCGGTTAGGAAGGCTTAGAGTAAAGAAGACATTTTCTCATATTATAGAAGTGTCCTTGAGCATGAGGACTGGTCTTCTCTCTCACAATGTCTTCTTTTCTGGATGTGTTTTAGGAAGTATTCTGAAGTAAAATATATACTTTATTATTTTCATTTCTCTGTTCAAGTTACTCACCTGCTCCTTGTAGGCCTTCCTCGTTGCCTACCATGTAAGATCTAAATTTAGCCTGGTACCCAAGGGTTATCACTAACTACCCTTCCTCTCAGCTCCCCAGTCTCATCTTTCCAAGTTCTTCAGCATACTTTCACTATTCTGCAGTTCTTCCTGCTTCCTCTTTGCCAGACCATGGTTGTCAACCTTTTTTAAGGCTCTAGCTTGATTTACCTGCTGCAGTTTGGTCAGTATTTTTGACTGAGACCATTTTCATTATTCCCTGTTCCTTTAGTCATTGGATATAATTTGCACACTAGTTTATAGGTTCCTGAGTAATTGCCCTCTAGTTGTTGCATATTTGTAAGTTTTATCCCAAAAGATTATAAGCTCCTTGAGAACGGGAGCTGTGTCTTCTTTTGGAACCCATCCTCTTAAGAGAACACAGTGAATACTTCTTGAATTGTTAGCAGGAGTCAAGCAGAAATCATATTCTGCAAACCCCTTCTTTAGAGAAGAAGCTGGAATTGGGGTTTAGTTTAATGATGTGATTGTTTAACTGGGAGCTATCACCCCTGATTGTGATCCCTCCACTCCCCTGATGAGAAACTGTAGACAACTGGTTCTTTGCATTCACTTGCCCATCCATTAAGGGGTGCACTCAGCTGCAGATACTGCTGCAACACCAGAGCTGTTTGAAAGATGACCATCTGAGCTCTGACACTGATGGCGTGGCATTAGATATCACATAAAATAAGTGCCACATTGATGCCTCTCTCTCTAAGGATGTGTATTTTTTTAAATTATTATAAAGTCAGTATAACTTATTGTAAACGTAAAAAAAAAAAAAGGACCGTCTTACATAATCCTAGCACCATAACACAGATTGATTTTTGCATATGCCCCTCTTTGGCCATATGTATACACACTATAAGTGTTGTCATGGTATTTATACAATTTTCTACTTCAATTTTTCACTTAACCTTGTCATGTACATTTTTCTGTTAATATACAGTCTTCATGATTATAATTTATAAGGATGCATAAGTCCGTTGAGTGGATATACCATAATTTAATTAAATAACCATTTTTGCTACTGTTGGAACACTTAAGCTACTCCTATTTTTTGCATTTATAAAGATTTGCATTTAAGACTAATAGTGGCATTGGTGGTGATGAAATCTTTCCTTGAGGACTTCCTCAGCTAGACCTCAGGCTTCTCAATAAACAGAGGTATCATGATCCAAAATTGCTACGTGCTTAGGAGTCCTACTTCTAGAAGTGCTTCTCTGTTTGTGATGAAATATCAGTTTTATTCTTCTAGTTTCTAATCTGTTATGGACCAACTCTTTTTTTAAAAACATGAAAAGTGAAATGGAAAAATTAACTAGAGACGTATAAAATACAAGCCCACAACTTTTATTGTTAAGTTCGATAGACATGAGTCACTGCCAAATTGTTGTAAAAGGGCTTAAAGAGTTACTCTTCCATTTTGGTATTTACCTTGTTGAGGACTGGTATACACCACAGGTTGTACCCTGGCACCAGCCCACAGATCACACTTTACATACACTTCTCCAGGATACCATATCAACCTGGTCTTCATCTCCTCTTGATGGTAACTGTCAGCCACTTTGTTCTCTACTTAGTTTCCTCCATTTTTAGCAGTCTGTCAACTCATCCACCTTTCGTTATCACCTGTACCTTTACTTCCCCTCTTATTCCTGTTTTTAAATGTACTGTCTCTTTCTACTCTCCAGATTCCTTTTTTATTGATCCTTCTATGACAGCTTCTGATCTTTCCTCTGTCTTCATCCCTCACCAAGGTGGAAAGTCATACTCCTCCCATCTCACCTGGCCAAGGCCAGGTCTTAGGCTTCAATATTGTTTTTACCTGAGAACTCCTGGATTTGGGCAATCACAGAACCTCCTCTTAGTCTGCAGAGGCTTTCTCTAGCCTTGGTTTTACTGCCATTTTAAGATGCTTCACCGTCTCCTTCAGTAGTTCTTGCTGCCCTAGCCCTCTGCCTTGGGCCATCAACTCTTAGCTATTTTCCTACTACAGACTTCTTTTCTAAACATGTGTGCATCTAACTCTTAATTTATCTTTCTGCTCTTGACTTTCTTATAACTTTCTCGACTTTTGCACTGTCATAACATAATCTCAAGCTTAACATTCTGTTGTCACTTGTACCTGCATATGATAAAAACTAAATACCCAACCATCTTAAACTGTGAATGGCATTTGGTTTTGTTACCTCAGATTCTCTCTGACAAAAGTAAACTTATAATCTTCTCATCTAAATGTTGCCCACTTCCCAAATTTCCCATCAATGAATTTGACACTATTTGAGTTCAAAATATCAAGGATAATCTAAATGGTAATTATTTTCAGTTTTCCAAGAAACTAATGGGGCAAGTGCAGGAAGTTAGAACGAAACTTGTTGGGCAGAATAGCTTCAGTCTGGCCCCTGTTTAAAAATCATTACACTTTACATGTATAAGGTACTTTCAACTCTCATTTGGTTTTTGCAGCTTTGAGTGGTTGGTTAGGCATCTGTTATCGCCAGTCTACCCCCTGGGGAAACTGAGGCTTAGAGTGATTTGGCCTAGGTGAAACAGTAAATAGTGACAGAGCTGGTCTTGAATCCAGATGTTCTGACTGTAGTCCAGTGTGTATTAGATACCATCCAGGAATGGGATCTTAGAATTATTGTAGTCCTTGGAAAACCTCACCCAGGTTCTTTCACAGTTCATTAGAAACAGAACAGAAAGTATAATGTTGCCCGTGAGGAAAACTTGTGACATGTGTCATTCTCTTCCCCACAGCTCAGAAGGTTAACTGAGCTAGGAAAGGTCCAAGAGAAGACAAACTTTTTAAGGGGTTGGGGTCAGTTTTATATGTGTATGGCCTAAAAAGCTCTTTAGTCGGGAAAGGAAGCTGAAGCATACATATGTAGAAACAAAGTCTGTGACGCATTGAAGAGTAGGGATAATAAAAACACAGATTTGTTCACCTAATCTCAATTTGGATGAGCCCCTTGAATATTGAGGATTATCATAGAACAAAATGGAAGTAAGAATTTGTATAAGGGGTATAAACATGGCATCCTTTATTCAAGTTGTATAGCTTCAAAGCAGATTTTTTTAAGGCTTTTAATAAATTCATGGATGTTAAAGCTGTAAATCTATTAAATAACCTGGATGCTTCCACAGCTATCATAACTGTCATGGTCTATCATGCAAATGTCTCGTTGCCACCATTGAAGCAGAGGACTAGTGACATCCAAGGTGCCATTTCTCAGCTCATGTTTCCGTGAACCAAACTAAAACAAACACACACACACCTCTTCTTTTCCCCCTGCATCATTGAATCCACCTGTTCCCTTTGTCTGATACCACCACATCTTTTATCGAGATGATTTGTGGGTCAACTTTTATAATCTCTTTTTCTGCTAATCTCCTAGCTTCCAGTGACTGCAGTCTTTGTGCATGTGGTTCCCTGGTAATTTTTCACGTTGTTTGTGTCGGCCATAGCACACTGCTACCCCCAGAGCCTTTCGGTGAGGTTTTCATTGAATGGTCAAATGAAATGACCATTCTATTTGCTGTCTTTAGAATGTTCTGCCAGCTACACACTTTATACCTGTTGGCTCTCCTTTCACTCTCTTACAGGTCCCTTTTATTTTTCCTAGTCCCACCTTCCTCCTTCCTCTCCTGCCCACTTCTAGGTCTTGTTCAAGTTTCCCTGAATCCTTGCATCAACCTCATTTTTGTTTACCATGCCATTCTCTTTTATCTCCTTAAATCAGGGTTTTCTGAACTTGACTGACTATTACAAACACTTGGGGGAGATTTAAAAAACACAAATCCTTCGGCCTTAACCCCAGAGATTCTGTTGTAGTTGGTCTGAGGTGTTAAAAACCCCACAGGCAGTTCTGCTGGTCTGCTGGGGCTGAGAACCATTGCCTTAAACCCAAGTGTGACTCACCTCCTAAGACGTTGCTGCCGCCCTGTGTCAGCATCACCTGAAAGCTTGTTAGAAATGCAGATTCTCAGCCCCAGCCCAGACCTACTGAATCAGAATCTGTACTTCATCAAGGTCCTAGGTGATTTGTGTGCACACAAAAATGTGAGAAGCCCTGCTTTGAAACCTTCCCTGATTCCCTTCATCTGTTTTCCAACTGTTGCCACAGTCAGCCTTTCGTTTTAGAAACCTATGCTCGTGCTGGCTGTTGAACCTCCTCTCCTGGCTCAGCTTTTAGATTTAAAATTGAGAGTTTAGAATCTGTGTTCTTTGGTACGTTTCAGATTCATGTTGCCAAGATGTATTGAATTCCCACCCTGTGTAAGGCCCCGTGTCTAAGCAGGTGTCGTTGCGGTGCTCAGCGTGCAGCTCTTCTCTTTCTGACTGTAAGGCTGTGGCTTTTTCCTTGCCCTTCACTGGCCTGCTTCCCCAGCGTGTGGCTTTGATTGTTTTTTCCTTTCTGACCCTCGGCAGAGAGCTATTGCACATTGGAGGCTTTAGCAAGAACACTCACTTCCCCTTGGTCTGACTTCCCGTTAGAGCAAGACAGTTTGTCAAGACAGCCCTGCATGTGATAAAGTCTGGCGTGGGGGGACTAGAGGAGGCTGCTTGGCAGCTGAACTTAGCCCTGAGAGCGGGAAGCCTTTTTCCTGGAGGACAGGATATAGTTTGTTTAGGTTGGACCTTTTTTTTTTTTCTTACAGGAGGTAAGAGAGAGAGAGAAACAAGTAGAAACCTTGACCCAAATTATTTATAAATTCTGAGCTCCCACTCTGCATAGTGCTCTGCTTATTTATGAGCACATCCTGACATCACTTGCTCACCTCCAGGCTTCAGTTTTAAGCTTTCTCAGTGCAAGGGTCCCTTTCTGTTGCTTTGTTTTCTCTCAAGCGCTCACCTTGAGGCCCAGCTGGGTCAGTGCAAAGTGGGGTAGATGTGGCAAGGCTGCTGACCCTGTTCTGAAGTCCTTGACCTCTGGCAGAATGGTACCTTGATAGCCTTTCTGAGATGAACACAGTCCTGAGATGGTTCGCATGTAAACCCCAGTAATATGAAGCATCTGAGACCTTCTTACCTTAATTTTCCAGGAGTGATTATGGTTGGGGAAGAAGCAGCATATCAAGCTATTTTTTAAAAGTTTATCAACCAGAATTTTTGGTGCAGAAGTTGCCACCATTCTCCATTCTGACCCCCCACGTGGCAGGTGATCTTGCCACTGAAATAATTTCCTGCTTTTCCTGCTATTCTTCCCAAGCTCTCTGGAGAGTTTTATGAGAGGGTATTTACAACGCTTTTCTGTTTGGCACATTATTACAGGAATGC